CCAGTCTCATTCTCGAAGACCTCTGGCAGCCATGTCTTCATCCACATGCTGCAACCATTTCTTCCTTAGTAGTCCTCAAATTCACCATGATCAGGAAGTGGTTTGTAAGGCTATTTCTGATTTTTACCCTCGCTCTAGCACCATTAAACAAGCATTTGATGGATTTTATTATATAATTTCCTACCCCTATGTTCTGTAAGGATTCCCACAGTCTGCACAATGGAACTGTATCATAGGCTTTTGCAGATCTATGAAAATCATGTGTACCTCCAGCGCAGATAAAGAAGGCAAAGAATGTTAAAAGTGCAGAAGTCGGTTGCTACGAACAGTAATATCCCACTGCTGAAATAACCCGTATTGCCTGAGATAAAGGGCAGGGTTGAAAATAAATAAAAAATCTCACTGAGGTGATTATATTTTAAAATAACAATAATTTTTCATAAAATCATGTTTTGTTTTTTTCTCTAACATTGGTAATTCAATATGCCTACTTTAAGGGCTTAAGGAGTATGTGCATACGAACTTTCTGGAAAACTCATTATTCAAGAAGTAGTGAAGGTTGCGCGGAAATTTCCAGATGATTATTTCATAAACTTCCTAATATTATATTTAATATTAGTTGTAAATCTTATTTTCTTTAACGAGGACTATTTTAAACTCTTCTATTAAAAATATTTTTTACATTTGATGATTACTTTGTTGATGTTATCATAAAAAAATATTAAAAACATTTTGAGATTTATATTTTACAATTTTAAGTGGCAGTTATGGAAGTGGAATGTGGAGTATAATCGAATAATCTATAAACAACGTTTTACACCTCACTGAACATTCGTAACAGAGTTGTGAATGCCCCCAAAAAAGCAGCAACCTTAGTTCAGGGTTTGGAGCTAACAAGATAATTACACACTTACTCCACCTAACCTTATTTTATTATGTTTAATGATGAAGCGTCCAGCTCATTATTAGCCAGCACTAGAATACGAGTGAGGAAAACTTTCCTAAAATTTTGAGCACATATAATGTAAGACTTTATTTCAAAAATTAATCTATTACATTCTGAAATAAAATCTTGACATGAATACTACTTTAACAACTCAGGTTATATGAAAAATTAAAAAGTTACTGTATTAACTTACATTTGTGAAAGAAAATGGAAGGAAGGTCTGCTTGGAGTACCAACTATTAGTACATTCTGGTCACTAATCAGTGCAGTTAAGCTAATTAAATACTATTAACTATTTACCAGTGGAATTAATTTTATTGTAAAATATTTATAGGAAAATAATTAAATTGGCCTCACAAAAGCCATGAAGAATCAAGAGGATAAGTATTAGTAGATATACTTTATTTTCAACCTTATAATATTCATGGGAAAAAGCACTGTATTCAAATTTTCTGTTAATTGTCCTGAAACCAAATGTCAAATACTCATTAATTTACTGATAGGATCTTTCATGCAATGCGTAGATTAATGTGATGAATGTTCTGGTTCATTCCAGCCAAAGATGGGCAGAAATAACTTATTTTAAAAATAACTAGGATACTTAACAGAATGTTATAGGATACTTAACTTTTTTTCTACCTGTTTATGGTATTTTTCCTTCTTCTGCCAGCAAGCAAAATATGCAATTAATGAGAAATACAAATGTATCCAATTATCAATTATTATTAATAAAATAGTTAATTACTTTTTTTTATTTAAGTCACTGCCCATCTGTAATTTTGAATGGATATAGGGATGAAATCTACATTTAATCAACTAATTCTAGATATATTACAAAGATTAAAATGTATTCTTTGGTACACAGGAAATAACAAAATAACGGTTAACCTTTTTGACATGGATAAGAGCCAAACCACAATGAGCCAAGTGCATCATGTTTTTGTACCAACATACGTGACCATTGTGATTCAAGTAAAGAAATATTAATTCAGTTGAATCAAAATGGAATTGAAGTTTCAACATTTAGATCACTTTTTAGATTTTACATGGTAAGTACAAGTGATAATTGAGCAGAAATAATTATTAACAATTATTTGTCATTTATAAAATTTAGGCAAAAAAAAATTATCAAAAATAAAAAAAACTGAAACCATGACAGGTTTCACCCAGTTTAAAAATAGCCAAAATAATTTTTAAAAACCTAATATTCAAAGATTCTAAATCTTGAAACTACTAAAATGGTTGAAACCATTTAAACTGGGTGCAACCATGACAGGTTTCACCCAGTTTAAAAATAGCCAAAATAATTTTTAAAAACCTAATATTCAAAGATTCTAAATCTTGAAACTACTAAAATAACTTTTTCCACATCAACTACCAAATGTAAGGCATTAATAAGTAGGCCAGGACTTAAGCTGACCAGCCACCGAAAGCGCAGCTAAGTCAGCTACCAAAACCGAATCAAAGGTTTAAGACCCACTACGCAGCCGGATGTTGAACCTCTCTTGCTACGCTCAGCTCAGCTCAGCTGCGTTGTAATATTATGTGATATATAGCGCTTTTGGTGGCTGGTCAGCCTTATGATACAATCAAAATGTAAAACCATTTCATATCAATAAAACACAAGTTAAGATTTTCATGCACTGTTTAAACCTCAAATACATTTTAAATTTTCTAATAAATATAAATGATAGATTATACTTGGAACATAATATTAATTAAAACAACAATTTTGTTATGGATATCTATTTTATTTTGCTTACAGATTTTGTTTCAATAATTTATAATTTCTATACAGGATAATTTATAATTTGAATAAAAGAAACAATGTCTCTCACAAGTTCAGTCAACTTCATATATAAAGATATGATCACCATTAACAATGATTTTTTTTTTTATGACCCTAAAGCTGTGTAAGCTAAAGTGTCTATTGCAGATGATTGATGATTAGTTTCTGTGAGCAGGTTTTAAGATGGAATGATTTCAAGTTTCTCAGAGCATGATAGAACTTGTTAAAAAAAACAAAAAATAGAAGAAACCAATTTAAAGAAATATATTTTAAACATCTAAAGAAAAACAAGTTTTATAACCATTTTATTAATATATACATGAGTTACTAAAATAAAAAAAGGAATAAATAAACTCATCGCAATTGATTATTTTAAACCTATGCAGTTAAAATGTTAAGTACTTTTATTACTGAAAAATTTATTTATTCACTTAACAATAAATAAATAACTTTTTACATTTAAAAAATCATTATAATTAATAACCTTTTTATACCTAAATTATTACTAATATTAAATATTTTTAATAAAAGTTATAAGGATCACAAACATTAAAAACCAAATTATAATAAACATTTAATTAAAATTAAACACATAATGTACTGAGTTTTAACTAGGTTATAAATTAATTAAATATTGATGTTTCATCATTATAAATAAAAATTGACAATAATAATTAACATTAAATGGTATTAGAATACAAATAATGCTAACTTCTAATTCACAATTTAATAACATTTCACGAGGAACAATTACACGACTCAATTGCCACTAGACATTGGAACATCAGACTCATAAACAATTTATTAAAATATCAAATTCATTGACATTCACATGCACATTTTTTACTTTGAAGTAAAACAAAATTTAAATATTGAATTAAAGTTCCTTAATCATCACGAACATCCAGCCATATTTACTAAATGTCGTGCTACCAAGTGACTTTTAAGGTGTGAATTATGTTTAGCTCTATACGGACAATGTGGGCAAGGAAACTGCGGCTCTTTACCACATTCAAATTTCCGATGATTGTAAAGACCAGAATAATAACTATAAGATCTGTCGCATGTATCACACTTAAATTTCTTTTCTTTTGATTCCTGCCTGAAAAATGGCGAATTTCCTGAAATAAATGATCTAAAATTAATTTTTAATTTCCTAAGTGAAATATATATATATATATATATATATATATATATATATATATATATATATATATATATATATATATATATATATAAAATTCTAAATGCTATTTATAGGCAAGGACATATATTCAAATAAACTCTGTGGCCACTATTTTGATAAAATTTCTAAATTTGAACTGTATAGTAATTGAAAAAAAATCAAAATTTAGTACTATTAGTTGCCCCTAAACAAAATAATAAATTCATCCTCACATAAATAATTCGCATAGTATATTTGTCCGTGAAAAAATGGTGATATAATATAACCATGCATTATTAGAGAGAGGAATTAATTACATTTTTCTAGGTCAAATCATAGTGATTCATTAAAAATAAAAGAGCAAAACATGTACAAATTACAATTTGTTAAAAATGGTCCAATTTTTTTTTTCATTTCTTTTTTTTAAGCAAATCACATGTCAAATCCATTGCTCCTGAGAGCTGGAAGAGGAATTTATACTATCCATAATGTATATAAATAATTAATTAAGGGGGAAAACCTGGCAGTTAAGCGTGATCTCGGTCAAATCACCTCCTTGCACAACCGTTGACCTAGAAACAGTGCTTTCCCTAAATAGTACTAAGCCCCAGACCCTTCATGGATTGTAGTGGTACAGGTTTTTTTTTTTTTTTTTTTTTGTAATATTAGTTAAGTTTCATATACCATCAATCACTATATTTTATTATTTACCATTATCGGTCGTATAATATCATATCTCTGAATGTATTTTAAAATTTTCAGACATGATGACGAGCCACATATTTAGGTTGAAACGTCGGCAATAAAAAATTAAAAATTTTTTACGATGACTGCGTCCTGATTATTTATCACCCATAAATATATAAAGTATATAATTCAAATATATGAATATAAAGAATGGCTAAACACATGCAAGCTATTTTTAAACTTAGGTTAACTTCTATAAAACCCATCTAATATATTATCCAATACATAAAAAAATTATATAAGACATAAAGATTATCCTAGTTCCTACAAAAAAAAAAAAAAAAAAATCTTAAAAGAGATTTTTGGTACATAAAAAATTAAAAATAGTAGGCAAAAGATGGAATAACAACATACTGCCAGTTAAAGTCAGTTTAACTTCTACACCATTTCTATTGGATGGATAATTACTAATATTTTAAGGACAATGATTTTTTGAGATTGAAAACATTAATAAAATAAAATCGTTTCGGAATAAAATTCATATAACAAATCATTTTTAAAACATAAGCATGTCAAGGAAAATATATTTGAGTATGATGAAATAAAAGTAGGGGAAAGAATTTGATAAAATTGATACTAGACTGCTCAGAAATAAATATTAACTGACCCTGCTTGGAATTGAACCCACTATCTTCAAAATCAAGGACTGAACATTTTAAGTTTCCCAATCCAATGCTTGGCCACCATGTCATCTAACTTTAGGCCAAATCAGACAAACCGTTTTGGAAATGTAGGTGTGTCCAGAAAAACATATTTGCCAACGTGCAGACATAAGTAGAGGATGGAATTTTATAAAATTAATGTGGGACCGAGACATCACGGTACAAACTCACTCAAGTGTTTAAGTCTAGTGGTGCAGATTCGAATCAGGCCTAGACAGGTAGAAATTTAATTCATGGCAGACGCACAAAAAGAATCTTGACTCATTTACTCTGGTTAGAACTTGGAATGTTACCTCTTGGAAAAATTGTCCAATACCTACATGAAAACAAAGTTTGTCTAGCTTTGATAGTGAGAAAGTGAAATGAAACATTGATAAATATAAGTGAGTGTGAGAGTGTGTCTCATATGCAATCTTAGAGGGAATATTAATTTTTTAAAATCATCATAATTTTTATTATTCTATTTCTTTTCCAATTTGTCAGCAGGACTCAATGGAAGAGCTTATTTCTAATTCCAGTTTTGTAATCTGGATGAATACCTTTTTGATCACAATATTCGGATTTGATTCCTTTCGAGAAAAACAAATTGCTGTTGATGGAACACTGATTTGATTATTATAAAACACAGTAAATTCCCTAATGAGAAATACTTCTAAATCTTGGCACTTCTTTTAACAACTCCACCCTCTCTGTGTATATTTTCATAATCTTCTCAGTTTTTGATTTTTGTTTTAAAATTTGTTAAACCTTCTGAAATTCATTTTTAATGGTATGAAAACTGTGGCCTCGAAATGTAAAAGCAATATTGATTATGTTAGCAGAAGAAAGTTTTTTAACACAAAGAAAGAAGACGAACATCGCATTCTCATCACTAAATGAATGATGAATATCACGGCTTGGATCAAGATAGTTAAGGGATGAAGTGAGGTAGACATAACTTTCACTATTGTGTATATTGGATGATTGATATTGTATTTAGGCCCAAAACACAAAGGAAAATATCTTTAGATTAAAGATAAATGAAACATTAAAAACAAAATTTGTTTTAAAACTTGATCTCTGAAGATAACAAATATTCTGAATTTAATAAAATTAAATGAAAAGATGCTGTTCACTGAACTGGCAAATGAGATATGTTTCCTGTTATTCGAAACTGATAAACTTCTAAGTCATTTACCCCGTTAAATCAGTTAAATAATTCCTTTAAGTAGAATAAAAAAAAATAGTTATAATAAAATGAATGCTTATTAAGCTGCCTAACGGATAAAATTTCAATTTATCTATCCATCTATCTGTCTACACACATACATTTACAAGACACTCAGTATTAATAAAATTAATGAAATTATTTGATTGACGATCAATTATCTTGTGTTAAATTTTGTGCCCATCTCCTATACACACAATCTTCCATTTCTGACAGTGGTTCAGTAGTCTGGTAATAATGAGGTGGTCATTTTATTGTAGTGAGTAGAAATTCAGGATTTTAATGAGGAAAAACATCAGTTCACTTTATATAATGAATTATTTTAATCCTTTCTTAAATAAAAACATCCCTAAAAACAGACAAAAGCACAAACATAAATGCCTCCTATGCACATAAAAAAGTTAATCAATTACTATAGGACAGGGGTCTCAAACTTTTTGGCCCATTGGCCACATTGAGACTTTTACCAATTACCGCAGGCCATGGATTGTGCTAAAAAAAAGATTTGTTTTATAAATGATACTTCAGCTGTGAAATGAGGTTTTGAAAAAAAAAGAACTAATACATAAATGTTGTAGGAACCTTATGTTTGAGTTATTTATTAAATTTCATATTTTTTAAAATTTAACTACAAAATTAAAGAAACTTTTCCGGGTAGTAGTTTGGAGACCCCTGCCAAAGGAGATAGACTATTATACCAGGATTAAGAAGGGAAACAATACATTATCATTAAAGTGAAGTACAAGAAGATTTTGTTTATAAAAAATGAATTTATTTATTTAAATACTGTCTAATTATTGATTCAGAGCCATCCAATGAAGCAGCAAATAGTAACGAATACTCAACAATAGAATTTCAATATACAAGGATCAATGAGTTTACATTAAGAAACATGCTAAAATTAAATGATAAAATAAAAAATATTATTTTTGATCAGACTATTTCATTATTTATTCAGCAATATTGAAAAATCATGACTCCTTAGGAATGCAGTGTTTTATAATTATATGAGTCTTCAAATTCTGCTTTTGTTTGGCACGGTAATCACAATGAGGGCACATGAACTGAGGTTCTTTCCCACACTCATATCGTTTATGAGAAGCAAGGCCTTGTTTGTAGCGATAACATTTTCCACATCTATCACAGTCAAATCCTACACAATAAAAAAAAGTATCAAATTAAAATAGAATTAGTTTCCCTAAAGTAAAATGTAGTCAATGAATAAGTTTACTTACAATAAACAAAACTATACACGTGCTGCACAAGTCATTCTAACTAAAAAGCAGACAGAATATATTGTTTTTATAAAAATGTGAAATATGATTAGTACACATTAATTATCATTTTGGAAATCTTGGAAGGAGAGCATATTTAAAACTAAGATAATACTATAATCAAACACTTAACTCTAATAAATAATGAATGGGATTTATATACTATAGTTTTTTATAATATAATACTTTTACGTGTTGGGTCAGCGCTTAAAGACAAGAACAGAACTGATATCTCTAGAAACCTGGAATTGTGTTGTTGGCAGAAACAGACAATAAATTTCAACCTTTTCACTCAGCTTGTGACAGAGGCATACAGAATAACTTTGAACACCTTTCCTGCCTCAGTAAGATTACATATGGATGTTGACGAAAGTATGGTTTATCATAATATGATAAAAAAAAAAACTGCTGTCAATGATTTGTAAAAAAAAAAGAAGGTCAAATTACTTCAAGAAATCTGACGGATAATGTTTTATTTATATTAAATACCATAAAATTGAGTTATCCTACCAATCAACCTATAACTGCCTTGGTACAAAGAATGAAATTTATTCTGCATGTCTGTCACAAATAAAAAAAACTAGTTAATTTTACTATAAATTGTTTCGCACGTAATGAAATGATATATGAAAACATTTTTTTATTATCCTGGGACTGTTGTCCCTTTAGGACAAATTATAGATACAGAAAAAATGACTGTTTGGCCACACATTACATTAAATATTTACGAATCTCATTAAAATTAAAATATTGCAAGAAGAAAAAAACAAACAAACACTAAAAGTATACAGTTTATATATATATATATATATGAAATGTATATATATATAAAAATGTATATGTATATATAAAATGTATATATATATATAAAATGTATATAAGAGAACTTTTTAAGTTCCCCAGTAATGATTTTGTTTACTCATGTTATTTTATTTTCTCATGTTTGTTTTATATATATATATATTTATATATATATATAAAACAAACATGAGAAAATAAAATAACATGAGTAAACAAAATCATTACTGGGGGAACTTAAAAAGTTCTCTTATATACATTTCGTGATCAATCAGGTTGGGAAAGGACTAGGTGCTCAAAAAGGAGAGATTTAAATGAGGAAATTGATTGTGCATATCAGATATCGGGAGGGATGGTATTCCAGAGGGAGATTGCTTGAATTATAAAGGATTTGTCAAACACAGCAGTTCAGTGAGGAGGTGGATACAGGTCGGAAGTACAGGATCTAATGGACGGGATTGAATGGAATGTTTAAATTTGGCCTTGAATTCTCCTGAGAGTCAGCCGTACACAAGACAGCCATAGTCAAAGTGGGAAAACATAAGAGAGGAAACCAGGAGTTGATGGAATTTATATGGAAGGAGATAGCGGAGACAATTAAACTGTTTCAGGGTAGAGATAGTAGTTATAGTTGTAGTTCAGGATAGTTATAGTGTAAACCATTGGTCTCAAAACAAGGGCCAGCCATATTTTGACTAAATTATACAATTTTAAATACATAAATCATATAAGTTAACAATCAGATATGTTTATTTAACAACCCTTTAAAAAAACATCATAACTAACATGCATAATGAAAGTGAACATTTTAAATACAATTAATGTTACAGTCCTCCCCATGGTTTGGAAGCTAATTCACAACAACCATACTTTTCATTGATCAAAAGGAAATATTAATAAAAAACTATACTTCAATATTATTCATACTATAAATTAAAACCAAATATTAAATGTCAAGGGGTGTATACACTGTGTGTACACAAAAGTGATAGTACACTTCATAAAAATTTAAAAATGCTTTGTTAGGGAATATCTGTATTTCGAATAGAATTGGTACACCAAAAGAAATTTGTTGTTTCTGCTCATTCTGAGTATACACTCATTTTTTTTTTAATAGTGAGTAGAATTCATAAGTTTCTCAATCAAATCATCATACATTATCATTATAAATCATACATATCATCATTAAATATTTTATAACATCAAATGTACCATGGTAGAGATATTATTAACCATAGATAAAATAGTAAAATCTGGTTGGGATGCAGTCAAAGATGAAAGTACAAGAAAATAAAACTTTTTGTGAGTATTTTCATTTTTCATTACTCTTCCTTTATACTGCATTATTTCATCAAAGTATTACTTAATGATTAAATTAAAGTGGTTATAAGTAAAATGTACAACTAGTAATAACTTTTCTTCCCAGTTTCATTTAAATCTATTTTCTCGTCTGATTGCTAACAGGAATAAGTAAACCTTCTGCTATTTGCAAATGTATGATTATTTATGATGAGGTGAAGGCAATATGAAAAAACTTCAATCACAAACGTTTGGGAGAAACAAATTTTTGGTGTTAACACAGGTGTGTTGTTAAAGATTTAAAGCATGAAAAATACAGCTCACTTCACCCTTCAACAAAAATTCACCCGTATTCACTTGAAAAGTAAGGTAGTTAAAAAGGCATTGGCATAAGGGTTTCTCAATTCACTAAAACTACAGAACAGATAATTCTAGATTCCTATCATCAAGTAATAAGTAGGGAAAATGATTTTTTAGTGTGTTCCTGAGTAGAGTGTACATTAAAATAATATAAATAAATTACAAAAGATAGCACACTGTTCACAAATTTTAGACAATGAAATATGATTAAGTTTTAATAAACATGAATAGAATAATAATTTTTTTTTCCCTTGTTATTCGTTTGTTTATGAATAGATATGAACAACTGACTATAAATGAACATACTAGATTAATATTATAATAATTAAATCACATAGATAATAAAGAAGGACGGTATCCAGTGATAATTCCTGTAATCTTCATTATTAGAAGAAGAAAAAAACTATAACAGGGTAAATAAGTTTATTTAAAAAATATGACAATCAAACTAATATACATTTAATAAAAATTGTATATCAACACTGAAACCCATCTGAATATCAATACAAATGAAAAACATAAAAGTAATTTCTTTATACCATGAAAAAGCAATGTGCCGAACAGTAAACAGGACAACAATATTTTTCTTTATTTTGATTTACAAAGAATATGTAAAATAGTTTATTTCACAAGTAATTAACAATAGAATGGTAATTCATTCTAATGATAGTCTGTAAAAATACCGGTACTAAGGAAGGCAATTTATTAAATATTAAGGAAAATCAAACATAATGTTGGTTGAGGAGATTCAATAGGAAAGCAAGTTCAAAATTCAATGCATGTGTCTACTATATTGAGAAAATTAACAATATCATACTTTTTCTGTACTTAAAATTTACTTGAGGCGTTATATAATCAAATTTTAATTAAATTATGATTGAATATTATTTCTCATGAGTTTATATAAACAGTAGTTGAAAAATTCAGTAAGAGGAGGAAATCATTGCATAAGAAAAATGTAAAGTATGAAACAAATAATATTTCAATCAATAAGCATCAGTAATTCTTTATCAACCTGTGGTTAACAGTTGACAGAATTCGATATTTTTCATTAATCTTAAATATTCATCAGAATTATAAATATTTTTTTAATAGTTGCTGGGCATGCCTGAGAGCTATGTGTTTCTTCATGTTTGATTTGACTTTACATTTATGTGGACAATGAGGACATTGGAATTGAGGTTCTTTTCCACATTCATTTTTTTGGTGTTGTGTCAAACTTTCTTTATGTTTATAGCAGCGACTACACTTTGAACAAACAAAACGCTGAAAATACTGTCCTGAAATAACATTAAAAAACAAGTAAATATATTAATACATCAATAAATATTAACATGTTTATAAGGCCATGATAGTCAAAATATAAGTAAATAAACAAATTTTGATGATTACTCGTTCAAAATAACTGTACTTATATTAATTAATATTAAGCAATATTTCTATGTTGTAAATTCCCAGTTTATATTTTTTTATTGTAATATTAATCCTTTTAAATATATACTTAATAATACTTAATAATAACTTTAATACAAAATAATAATACTTAATACAAATACTTAATAATAAATGTTTTCCCTAACATATTTATGAAGTAAATAGTATAATAAGTAAAATATAAAATAAAATAATATAGAAGTAAAACAATATAGAACAAAATATTCAGCTTTATACTATACATTTATTATGTATTATTATAGAACCATGTAAAAATTATTTACAAATTATTAATGGCACCAACCGATAGATGTTGCCATCTGGTTGGACCAAATGTAATTATTGGTTTATAAACTATAAACTCTTATTAAATCCATCAGTTTAAAATGATGAAACACCACTACTTTAATTTCAAAAATACCACTGGTTTATACCAGAAAAATATAGGATGTAGTTGTACAAAACTATAGGATACAAAATATAGGATGTAGAGTTAACATTAAAGTTTGAAACTTTATTTAGTAAAAAAAAAATAATTTGAAATAATATGAGAAAAATAATTTTAGTCTGAGACTAAGACCCCCTTAGAATAATAAAGATGTTCAGACATGCATATCAGTAAAGTAAAATATTTACTAAATGGTACTTAATTATCAATTTGTATTAATTGTTATTGCAGAAATAAACATTACTTAAATTGACAAAAATACTTACATATTGATTACAATGGTAGTTTGATAGGCAGTACATAGAGGCATATATGTTGTATAGTGGAATATGTTAAAGAAGATTAAAATAGGCGAAGAAGGTATTATGTATTACAGGTATGGTAAGAATTCTGAAAGGAAGTAGCAGTTTTATGGAATAAGATGTATATAGACTGATATTTAGTATTTAGAGATTTAATGGAGGAATGTAGAGCAAGGAGTTCAAGGATATAGAGAAGTTTTTTGGCTTCTAAGCACTTGGAAAAGAAAGAAACCATGGAGGAGTTGCAGTTGAAAATAAGATAATGCCATTTCAACTCAGGGTACCAACAAGGAACATAGATAGTACCTGGGAATTCCAAAGATGAATCTTCTGAAACAATTCATACATTTATTCA